CAAAAACATAAATTTTAAAGATTTTGCTATCATTATTCTGCTATAAAAACCGAAAGTTTTCAAATAATTTTATAACTCTTTTAAGGACTGGGCTGAAAATTGCAAGTTTAAGATGCATTTCTCCATATGAGACTTGCATGTTCACCTTCCCGTGCAAAAAAATCTCATAAATCTCATTCTTTGACCATAGCACTTCTAAAAAAAATGTTTACTTTCTAAAATGTCGCGCGGCTTCGCAAATGTCGTGTAGACCCTTTCTTTGCCACTGATTAACCGTTAGAAAAAAGATTCGACCTTGACAGTTCATCTTGCTACACGTTCTGCAGATGCTGTGCACAGCACTAAACTGTTTTTTCGGCTAATGCGATGTAGTTTTTTCGGTTAATGCGATGGAAAATCTAATGATTAATGGCTAACATTGTTGTTTTTTTCGGCATGGTGTCCTAAATTCGTTGAGTGCAGAAATTTCATGCTAATAGGCCTGAGCAGTGTTAGCGCCGTGTTTCTGCTTTGGTGTGCGTCTATAAGAATAGAATTGTTTTTCTCCACATAGTCACTTAGGATAATTTTCTGGATTTTTTCGTCTTTAACGTAGATACTGATACATAGATAGCAAAATCGCGAGGATAGTGAGAATTAAAAAGCACTCGTGAATATACATAAACAGTTCATTGAAGGGAGCAAGAAAATTTCACAAACTTTTTGTGTGAAGTGGAATAGATGTCTTGATCGCAACTAATGCGAAATCAGTATCCCCTGTTGTTGATACGATGAGTTTCTACATTATTTGTGCTGTCTTTGAAAATATTGGTGTACTGGCTATTGCATAAGTTCTGTCCGATTTGAATCTTTTCAGTTTAAAATATCATAACTTCTTTCAAAGCCAACCTGCCAACCTTTTTCCAAGATTTCAATCTCTATGTGTTGAACAGTTCCTTGACTAATAGCTATTAAGACTTGGGCAAATTTTTGCTAAGGAAGAAGCAAGAACTCAAAAACTTCTTTAAAACTGCCTTTTTTGACATGGCAATGCTCCCTTATGAATTGATAGGCATCTTATCTAACAATGAATAGATAGAGAAATTCGCAGATTATTTTGCAACAAAACAGAGCCCATATGTAGGGTCTGCGTTGTCGAGAGATTTTTGACTGAGCAAAAAAGAAGCCACTTTTTGACCTTGCTTCGGCCATGTGTGCATGTCAATTTACGAATTATGAAAATTTTACAATTGAAGTGAGCGCCGAAAAGAAATTAGTGGATCCCTGCTAGCTCTTGCTTTACCCTAGCACCTCCAACTCTGAACTCATCGATTACTTTTATTTGCAGGAATTTATTGCTTGTAAAACTCTGTACAAGAAATCCATGTTTGACAGCAGATCTTACTAGCAAGACGTTTTCTTCATGAAAGTGAGCTTCTGTATATATTAGCGTTCTGCACCCTTACTAAACAACCAATGAAAGAACCTGACTTGAAAGGTGCATGGTGGAGATTTTCTCGCAAGAGCATCAAGAGCATATCTCTAAGGTGAGAACGTACCTCAGCTACTTGGAGATTTTAGGTTTGAAATCTCCGTACACTCTCAGACAATCGCCGGGGGCAGGCGGGCACCGGAAAAATAGATTGCTGATCTCTCGCACCCCGCTCGCGGATTTTTTGGAAAGCAATCAGGACTTTTCGGAAGACCGCTTGCTGAATTCTCGATTCCTCAGAGATTCAGCAATATATTAGGTTGATGCAAAAATAATGAGCGTTTTTATTTGCTTGCTTTAACAAAGCAACCAGTCTTAACCCAACAAAGGGTAAGAGGTACTGTTCGATAGAGCAAAGCAAGCTCTACAAGATGGCACTCATGTCTTTGCGCCATGTTCGATCTACGGAGAGTTCGAACTCAAAATCTAAAGATTTCCAAATGCCCAAAAAATCGAAAAAAATCAGATCTTCGTCCAAATAATTTCTACGGACCTCCCACTCGCTCACATCAATACTATCGATACCTGATATCCATATGTGCGATTGCCGTATTTTTTCCTTGACTAGAAACTGAGAAAACGAAACTTTTCCTGATTTTCTCAAAGCAATGCTGAGCCGTTTTTGCACATGTAGTTCTATACTGCAAGCCTAGGTAAGCGTAACTGTAGGTTTTCAGCCTATTTCGAGCGGTACTTTTCGAGAAATGTCGATTTTAGCATTGAAACTGAAACGAAAAAATCCGAATTCGTTATTTTTCGAAAACTACCGCTTGGAATGGGCTGAAAATCTACAGTTACGCTTACCTAGGCTTATAGTATGAAACTACATATGCAAAAACGGCTCAGCATTGCTTTGAGAAAATTAGGGAAGTTTTTGTTTTCTCAGTTTCTAGTCAACGAAAAAATACGGCAATCGCACATATGGATATCAGGTATCGATAGTATTGATGTGAGAGAGTGGGAGGTCCGTAGAAATTATTTGGACGAAGATCTGATTTTTTTCGATTTTTTGGGCATTTGGAAATCTTTAGATTTTGAGTTCGAACTCCCAGTGGATCGAGCATGGCGCAAAGACATGAGCGCCATCTTGTAGAGCTTGCTTTGCTCTATCGAACAGTACCCCTTACCTTTTGTTGGGTTGAGTCTGGTTGCTTTGTTAAAGCAAGCAAATAAAAACGCTCATTATTTTTGCATCAACCTAATATCTGCAAAAGATAAGAGCGAAAAAAAAATTCAACAGGCGGTCTTTCAAAAATCCGTTGACTCAGCAAGCGGTCTTCCGAAAAGTCCTGATTGCTTTGCAAAAAATCCGCGAGCGGGGTGCGAGAAATCAGCAATCTATTTTTCCGGTGCCCGCCTGCCCCCGGCGATTGTCTGAGCTAATCGTAAGAAGTTGATTGAGATTTGGTTTGCTTTAAAAAAACAAGAAAATCACTTTTTAATGATACTAACAATATCGCATTAGAGATGAAATTTTCTGAGAGCAGCTGCTTCAAACGTAAGGTAAAAAAATCGGACAGAACTTATGCAGCAGCCTAATAATTTTAACTCATTCCGCTGATCCAACTGGCAATTATTGGAAGTTTTTTTTCTAAATGAATATATGAGAAGGACAAGGTGTTGAAACGATATCTATTTTTTACCGTATTTATTTACCTACTACTAAACAATCGAGACAGAAAAGGTTATTCTACTTAAAAAAGCAAAAAGTGAAGTCCGCTATCTTTAACTACTGGGCCCCAGGGTTTGACTCATTGTTGGAGAGAGCGTTTTAGCCAAAAACAAAGTTCTAATAGTCGATATGCAAGTCTGTGCTTCCGTGCTTTTTTGAAAATAAGAACTCTATACAAAAGGGGGAGAGCACTTGACTGACTATACAAAAAAATTTCATTCTCCTTGATCTTTGTGAAAGTAGATGGATTCAGCAAAGTTAAAGGTGTGGCAAATTTGGTGAGAAGCGGGGTTTGCTTTGTGCTTTTTTATCAATAGCAGCGATGAAGCAACTCGGATCAACAACTACTTTTTCAAGGGCTAGAAAACGCACAAAGAGATTTTTGACGACCTGACAAAATGATACTTATTTCAATCAGTCTTCGCAGCATTTTTGTTTGCAGCTTCCATCTTCGCCTCGTAAATCTTATTCGGAATTTCAATGTATTCTATGAATCATATGTTATGGACAAACAAAAATTAATTACGATGGTCCTGTATTAACGCTTTCAAAAATGATTTAGAGTGATTTTGCCCTTAACATTGTTCTCCTACTTTTATACCGTCACCTCTGCGAACTACTACTAAAATACTATAGACTTATTTTATAGATACCACATGTTTGTAAAATTTTCTTCTGCCTTCATGCGTCATCTATGCTGCCCCTAGTTTTCCGCTTGCTTCTATCACAATGTTCCTATGTGTCCAAGTTGAAGACAAGGATACCTTTTTGCTTCTACGCAGGTTTGATGATTCATTCTTGTCGCTAATCGCTATACAAGCTTTGTTCTATGACGCAAATCTTATTCATAAAAACTAAAGGCTGTCGCGTCTTAGCAAGATTGCTACATTACACAACATCTAACCTATTCTTAATAGGACCAAAAGCTCTGCACTAGCTGCCCGGTCTACATTCTTAATTTGGAACCTCTTGCCCTCTCCATGTACCCTTTGGTTCAACTGGCTTGGCGGCTGGAAGGCGGGGCTTCCTGACCTAATTAAGGTTAGATAATGATGGAAGCGCACGCCGCGAGAAAGATGCAGACTGCATAGCGGGCGCGAGCGGCCTCAATTAGGCCACAAAGCCCCTCCTTCCAGCCACCAAGCCCGTTGAGTCAAAGGTTAAATCTTCCTCAGGTCCCCTCCGCTTTTCCCTTGTCTCACCCTTCTTCAAAATTGAAGAAAATTGTGAAAAGCACGCCTACATTTTTTCTTATTTACAGCCTTCGTTTCTTGAGGCTTGTTCAAAATTCTGGCGACTTAGAGCGAAAAAGAGACAGGAATAAAACTTTTTACCAAATTAGAGTCGTTGGTTGAATTGAAAACAGTCGTGAACCCAGCCACAAAATCTGCTTTTTCCTATGCCTTCTTTTTATATGCTAAAGTTCATAAAGTAGGAAAGATTTGATGGAGGCTCTTAGTTAATTTTGGAGAACTTTAGCCTTTCTCTTTCCGATAAACTTTGCCACAGTTACCGTATATTTTCAAGTTTTGACAAACTCGAAGCATCTGTATACATCTGTAGCCACTGTAAAAGTAAAACTCCTATTTTCCAATGCCTTTCAATGATTCATATCGAAGCAGATCGTTTCCTCCAAATATGGACTTTGGTAGAAAAGTTTAAGAACAGATTTGCAATTGCACGCTGTTTCTGCAGTTCTTCAAGCTGCAAAAAATTGCGGAGTCTTGCAAATAACGACTATGTTCACTTTTCGGTGGAAATGGAAGAAATAATATTTAAACAATGATGCACATTCACTGCTGAATAGAAGTGACACAATTTTGTAGGAAAACGTTAACAAATATTATACATAAGTTACTACTCTTCATATACGCAAGCGTTGAATGCAAGAACTTTTTTTGCTGTTCTTGTGCTGTAACAACCGAGCCTCTGGTAGCCACTGTAAACCATCTAAAATAAATGTTTCTAATTCCTAGCAAAAAGGTAAAAAATTCAAATAATGCGTTTCTTACATTCTCATAGTTGGCCTTATCGCCATATGGTTTGTCGGGATTCGAAGAGTTCCCTTCGTTCCACCATCTCTCCAGCGAAGGCTTGAAATCCGATTCAAACGATCTAAGCCCTTCCTTCAGTCTCCTGAAGACTTCCATATTAAAATTTTTCTGGCAATGCATATTTTGAAAAATTTCTTACACGAAGTCGGTGTTCAATCCATAGGGATAGATGGCATTTTGCTCGGAACGTCCTTTTATAGCACTTTTGGCTTTCGTTACCAGAGAGCAATCCCACACCTTATACGTAGATGCTATTGTGATTTCTTAGATGTCTCAAAGATTTTAATACACTAACCAACTTATTCATTTCTCCCCCATCAGCTGGTAGAAATTTTTTATTTTGGCCGCTAGCCAGTTCCATCCGCTTTGTGTTGTGGAAGTCAAGAATCTTCTGGCTCATTTCGTCCATCTTCCCTCCGCATCTTTCGCTGCGCACTGACGGAATGTTGCTGCACAAAGTTAGGATCTGGAATACAGCTGACTTACAAGAATGCTCATTATAATGCGAAAATTCTAGAAGCGTTACCGCTACGCTAAAGCGAACAATCCCCATGGTTGTAGCTTAGAAGTCAGCTACTGTCTTTTCGATTTCCAGCAGATCCTTATATGCTACCGATAGTTTGACCAGCTTTATGTCCTACACAGATTTTGCACAAAGGCACTTTGCTTGCAAGAGCAGAAGAAGCCTGCTGCAAAATTGAGGTCACGTCAAGTGTAGTCTTGGCTTTTGAATCAACACGGGGTACTGAAACCCGAACCCACTTCAATGATTAGTTTTCTTCATTCTTACTCTAGAAAATTACAATTACTAAGGTACGAATCGCCACAAAGCACTGGCGTACCCAGGATTTTAGTTTGGAGGGTGGGAAAAAACAAAAATTTTTCTCTATTGAAGTGCTAACGTCAGCCTCTCCGAAAATATATTTGGTATGCTTCATGAAATTTTTGCGGGCTTATAACCCAGAAATTTTAGAACGACACCACGTCCTAGAAGAGAATTTCTCGTAAGCAGGGCTCGGCACGAGGTGGCTAGATGAAAATGGAAAAAACGAAGTCCCCCTTGACTTTTGGGAATTTTTACGAAGTCCCCTTTGACCCTCAACCAATTTTCCTCTAAAAACCTGAAAAATTCCCCAAAATCCCCCAAAAAACGAAACGTCGACTAAAAAAAAAGGTCGCCGTCGCCAATTTTCCGTGTCTCTTCGGTCACAAAAACGAAACTCCCTTTGCTTTTCGTCTCAAAAACGATATCCAGCTTGCTTGTAAGCCACCTCGTGCCGAGCCCTGCTCGTAAGGCTTAATTAAATTTCTAAATTTTTTGGAGTTCAAATTATATTTGATTACGAGTATAAGCGAGTAGCTTGCACATTTTCATAACTCATATAAGTAACTTTCAGAAATTTGGCGACCCATTCTGGGGGAGGGGTGCTCCCCCTCTCGGTAGGCTAGTGTTACAACGTATGTTACTATACGTGAAATTACCATCTACACATTTTCTTTGTTTTTCACCAAACATAAATAATTGAAGTAATGCCCATCTTAAAAAGGTTCATATGATGTTCTAAATGCTTTTCTAGTTGTTCATACCATTTTCCCTAACAATCAGAAAATTGCCATAACCGTTCCTCTTGTTTTAGATTCTGCTAGCGCAGTGTATTGAAAATATTGCTCTTGTTCTTTGTTTCAATGCGATGCCGAGTAGACTGGTTAATAATCAACGCTGTCGCTTTTAGCAAAATAGCTTGCAGTCACAGATTGTAAGAAGTTTGAAATATTAGCATGGCGTGCAGGTGCTCGTTTAATAAATATACCTTTAACAATCCTGATACCATTCTTAGGGTGCCTCGAAAATTCTTGCACATTGCATTTCGACAAAGTTTTTGTTTCGATGTAGCCACTTACTGGGGCACGCTGCACATCGTTGGATAAAGAAATCAACTTCTGTAAAGTTATCGCATTTTGAGCATGGTCATGTGAACACGTCAGCATGAGGTAAACTGTTCTTCACTAGACTGAGGATTTTCAACTAATAACTAGCGCACTATTGACATGTATTTATTTATTTTATTTATCTAGAAGTACACTCATGGTGCACCTTTAGAAGAAAAAAAAGAAATTTGAATAAGCATAATACCAGCCAGTCTCATATACAGGGAGATTGTGATATGTAAAAAGAAAAACAAACCAAAATGCTCCAGATAACATTAACACATGAGTGTTTTTTGCTTCAAGAGAAACTGAATACCAGGAAAGGAAGTTCATACTTGAAAATCTTGCTTCCTTCGTAATGTATAACGATCCCTGTTTTGGTTGCCAACGACCCTACGGGCGGAAGCTAGCTGATTAAGCTCAATAAAATCCATATGTTAGAAGAAAGCAAGATACTAAGTTGGGGCCTTGAGCGAAAATATCCTAGTGACTCGTGAACTGAAAGTTTGTTCTAAGCAGTGGGATATGGGAGCTATGGCTTGTAGATTTGGTACCGGGAGGTGATGATACGTACGTGAGATACGATCCCTTTTCTCTGCTACATGAGACAAGTTGGTTGAATAAGCAATTTCTTGCTCAACATTATCCAACTTCGTGCCAATCGCCGATTATAACTGGGAGATGTTTTAAGGCACACAATGCTTACACCATTTAGCACCCTAAGATTTCAAAAAGACTACGTCTTTTTCGAAATCGTGAGGGTGCTAAAAGGTCACCCTGACTCTGAGTTATCAAACATCCCTCTTGGCCCTGCTTTCAGTTCTCTCCTCAACCTCCACGATAGTAATCTGTGGAGAGGTGAAGGCTGTCATTGAGTACGTTTACTCTCTATTCTAACATGCAAGGAGGGAAGCTGAGTTGAACAGGGAAGGCTGGAAAGCATATTTGGTGGTTCAGCGTCACGGATTGAATCATGTGCTACGTTAAAGGCAGCGTCCGGCCAGATATGAAAACTTAGAGTACAGACTCGCCGCTCTGATAAAGCTCGCATCTGACTGGCAATGCACCAATTTGCTTCTAAAGCGAGGGAACAGCTTCAGAAGTGGAACCGGAGCTGACCCTAGTTCGGTAGGCCAGAGTACGCATATCGCACGTAGTAGACGTAGGTCTCGCAACGACTTTGCGTCTTAACCTTGTCGGCAAATGTCTAGTTTCAAAATCTGCGTTGCTGGAATAGCTCGTTTTCGACATTTTCGTGCTCTCCAAAATGCATTTTCGGAATCGGCGGAAAGATTAAGCTCAAGTAAGTTAAAAAACTTTACGAAATCAAATTTTGTCCGGACGCAAGGCTTTTGAAGGAGACGGAGGCATCTCAGAAAACTTCAAAACATGTCTGCTGCAGAGGCATCCTATGTTTGAACTTAGAATATTTAAGAATTTTATGTCTGAGTACGTTCGGTGGTCGTAGCGTTATTCAACTTTGATCGCTTCGCCCGACCTGCTTTCGTGATTATTACAACCAAATGTTGCAGTCACAACGCTTGCAAGATTGAATGACTTATGATTGCAAGAAGCAGACAAGCTTCAGTTTCAAACACTAAAAGTCTTTTCATAACCGAGTTTTCGCCGACATAAGTCAGCTCTTCTTATATTCCCAATATGAAGCGGAATACCATTTGACAGACCAAAGCAGGCTCTACAAGGTAGCGTTCAAAAGTTCGCACCAATCTTGATCTTTGATTTTAAGCCAAAATAAAAAATCTAATTTCCGAAAAGACAAATAATCGTATCTCAGTCTAGAACAGTCTTGCAAATTTCCTACTCATTCACGAATACACTTTCCCCACCAAGTACTTGTATTACACTTGCTGCAATTTTCTGATGGCTAGAGATTCAGAAAAAAAATTATCAATTGCAGTGAATTTTCAAACTTTCTTGTAGCTGTGTTCCTCCCAAATATGGATTATATAGCTTATTCATTCAGAAATACTAATCTGCAACGATGTAGGTGCTTTAGCTTTGAGGAGATATCAGTCATTAGAAGTCATAGTCAGAAAGATCAAAGTTGAAGTACAGCAAAGTTTCTCAATCAGGCTTCTGCAAATTTTGCGGTAACGACCCCAGACGTGGGTTTCCGCGCCCTTAGAGCAAGGGATTCACCTTTTTTTTTCAAAGCACTTTTATCTGACTTATAACAATCTGCTGAGTATTATAGCTTATCTGACACTATGGAGATCTATTGCTCGGTCCCTGCCAATACATTGTCTTGTCTTCTTCCCTACATCTATGAAACCTTTCCCTGTCTCTGTGCCACTTTGTATAAACAGCATGCTCATTTACCTTCAGCGGCAGCTTTCAGCTCTAAACAAAGTTTGAGTCATAATCGATGAAGGTAATCGATAATTCTGAAAACCAACCTAATAATCATTAGCATGATCTCTTATCCCCATGTGCCAACTTCAAGCTCCGTCTCAAATTTGCAAATATGTTGATCGTTATGGATCGATAATGAAGTAGCTTACGACAAACTTCCCGCCGCGAAGTATGAGTATGCAAAGTGTGTGCAAAGTTCGGTCCGGATTGGTTTCGAGAATTTTTTATTCAGAACACTTCACATACAGGGTTTATCAAACGCAGTGTCGCTTGCATCAGCACCTCCATTCCGCGCTGGACTCTGCGTGTTTTCAGCGAACATGCTCTCTAACCACTTTCAATCAATTGAGGTTCCGCCTTTCCCACGCTCGCTCTGAGAAAGTGATCAGGGAGCATCTTCGAGGAAGAGATGCAGAGTTTAGTGCGGGAGTGGAGATGCTGACGCAAGCGACACTGCTTTTGATAAGCCCTATACATACATACAGACATGCTATACTGACAAACAGAATTCACCTATACATGTACGTCATGACATTCGCACATTAAGAACACACCTCCAACCAGCGCCTTTCATTCGCATCTGACATTGCTTTATAAAAACTGGCATTTTTGAGCAACCTAATATCTGTACAAGCACATTAAACACATATTACGCTTGAGTACTCCGCTAAAATTTTTTAATTAATTCAGCAACTGCGCCTTTTAACTGTTCGTCTCCCGCTCAGTCCAATTCATAACGACTAATTGATATTCATCAAAATCTATCAAGTAGCTTTTTCAAAAGCATTTTGACATCTCCACGTTTATTACATTCACAGTCCAAATAACTTCCAAGCTTCTTAAGCAACTCAAAATCCAAAATCTGCATTGCCAATGTTACGAAGACTCGACTATGCGCGAAGCTTGGAGCTGCCTCTTGAACACTGTATCAGAAACGGTCAAGTGCTTATAGCTGTACGAATTTGGATATACAGTCGATTTCATCGCGGAATAGGTGGAACGTTCGAGCAGCGCATGTACGCCGCTGTGGGCTTCGAGAGCGCATAGCATTAGCATTGCCAAGCAAAGAGAATGAAGAGACGCAGACTTGGGTTCCCAGCACGACAT